TTTGGATACCTATGTCTACAAGGTTTCATTAAAATTGAGCTTTTCAATTCTAAATCTTCTGGGAATTAAAAGAAAAAAACTGAGTTTAACATTAATAGCATACTAATATAAAGATGAAATTTATCTGGCATAAAATCACACAGGAAGCGCTGTCAAATATAAAATGGTATCTGGCTTTGTTTAGTCTAAAAACTAACAAAAATAGGTGCTAAAGAGAATTCAGAAGGAAAATGAATACTGCCAGACCAGAGGGAAATGTTATCCAAACCCCTTATTAGGGGAGTCTGCTTCCAGCTCTATCTAGGGACCCTTAGGGGACCCCAAGCCATGCGTGACACAGTCCTCAGAGTTTATGGGTGCATAGGAATTTATTTATACCCTGGCCAAACCGGTTACAGACAATTGCTAAGTATGTAAGAAAACTAACAAACAATTAAAAAAAAAAATCCAGGCTTAAGGCCATTCCAAAGTATTCAGATTAATTACAAACAGATGCCTCCAATCGGTCATCTCAAGTATTGATTGATTCAGATAATAGAACTCGTTTTATTGCACGTCACTGGGAAATTAGCCCAGATACTGGATATAACATGGAAATATCGTACTGGCACCCACCTTTATGCGAGAAAGTAGGAATGCCTATGACCCTGTTGAGTCTGAACTGCTCCCGGAAAAGACTACTACTAATCTCCCTACATTTGAAACAAATCAGTGTACATACTTAGTTTATCTTCCACTTTTCCTTCCCTCAGAACTAAAGGTCTTTTAGCGCAGGTGCCCCCCTGAAGTTTCCAGTACCAGTACCAGCCTGGAGACCACCCCACCTCGTGCTGCTAGCCACCAAGACTGCCCTTTGGACAGCAGAAAAGAGATGAACACATCACGCCCAAGTCAAGAAAGGGCCATCACCACTAGAATCCTGGGCTACTGTTCCAGGATCAGACCCCACCCAGTTAAAGCTAAGAAAAGCTTAGTCTTTTCTTTTTTTCCTTTTCTTCCCTTTAACTACCCCCCATCTTGTTATTATTGTGATTAGATCTGGCTCAGCTCAAGTTGTTGCTTTGATGTGTGTTTAGTTATGCCTTGTGGAGATTTGCATAACCAAGGACAGCTTGCTGCTTCTGAAGAATGTCTCTGTCCCCCTTAGACTTCTCAGATTAGGAAGACAGGAGTTCCTCTAAGGATACTAGTCATCCAAGGAATAATAGTAGCTACATTTGTAATTGGTAGGAATTAGACTCTTATCCCTCTAAAACAGAATCTCTATGTTCTGCTTAGTCTAATGTCACATGGAACACTAAAGGTTTAGGATAGCTTGTTTCCACAGGTCTTCGTCAGTCCTCAAAACTATATATCCACTCCATCAAAGATATCACTCCTTCTAGCTGTCAATATAATCAGTGCTTACTGTTGTTATTGCAACATCTGAAAACTCTTCCCCTTCATTAAGCCGTATTTATGGTATAGGAGCCGACATTTCAGGAAAGGATCCTAAAGGAATTTTTGAAATGCACCTTATTGCTCCTTCAACCTCTTTATTTTTTTTTATTTTTATTTTTTGAGACGGAGTTTCACTCTTGTTACCCAGGCTGGAGTGCAATGGCGCGATCTCAGCTCACCGCAACCTCCGCCTCCTGGGTTCAGGCAATTCTCCTGCCTCAGCCTCCTGAGTAGCTGGGATTGCAGGCACACGCCACCATGCCCAGCTCATTTTTTTGTATTTTTAGTAGAGACGGGGTTTCACCATGTTGACCAGGATGGTCTCGATCTCTCGACCTCGTGATCCACCCGCCTCGGCCTCCCAAAGTGCTCGGATTACAGGCTTGAGCCACCGCGCCCGGCCTCAACCTCTTTATGAATCACTCCTCCTAGACGCAATGACAAAACCAAACTCTCAATGGTAGATGTAGAGGACCTAAGGCAAACCACAGTCTTGAAACAGGATATAAGGATGCAAATGCCTGGGTAGAATGGATTAAATATTGTTTGCGCCTTAAATAAATGCGACTGACGCTTGTGCGCATGACAGACCTGAGGCCCAGGTTATCCCCTTTTCACTCAGATGATCTAATCAAGCGGACATGGAGTGCATGATAGCTTTAAGATTCCACAGCTTGGAATAATAAATTGTACCAAGTTCTTTCGATGCTATTTCCTGAGGTTCAGCACTCTGCGGAGCAGCCCCCGAGGGCCATGTCGCCTCCATCTCCCAAGGCAAACTTCGCCATGACAAGGGGAAAACTGTGTTCCTTGGACACTTAACAGGATGGAGTGAAGTCAGGCACTTTCGAGAGCTGGCTCATCAGTCCGCCCTTACTTATCCCCATCCGATGCATGGTGGGACTGTGGGCACCTTTACTGAACACTCTGCCAAGTAACTGGAGCGGCACGTGCGCTGTAGTCCAGTTGGCTATCCCTTTCACCCTGGCATTTCATCAACCAGAAAAAGAGAAACTACAACATCAGCAAGTAAGAGAAGCTCCTTATAGGTCTTTTGATTCAGAGAATGCCTATTTAGATGCAATTGGAGTTCTCTGAGGAGTACCAGATAAATTTAAAGCTGGAGCTTTCAGATAGCTGCAAGATTTAAGTCAATGTTGTTCTGGTAGGTAACAATAAAAAACTGTAGATTAAACTACATGTATTACAACCAACAGCAGTTTGTTAACTATACTAAAGATGCTTTCAAAGGAATAGCTGAACAATTAGGATCCACTAGCCAAATGACCTAACACAACAGCCCCAGATCTGATACTAGACAATTATACTTCTCCTTAGATGTTGTGTCATACCAAGCATCGAGGACTTGTGCAGAGGCTAGGAGATGCAACTCTTACTAAAATATCCACAACCCCTCCTCCCCCTTATTGAGACAGATTACTTCTTTTAGAACAACAGAACTAAGCCAAGGCATGGTAAGGAAGTTTGAAGAGAAAAAAATAAAACTGTAAAAATTCAAGATGGGGGATTGTTATAGTAAACCCCAAGTTTCCCTTCAAAGAATCAGTATGTCGGTATGTTCAGCTCTCTTATTCTTTAATTATAGCCTTCTCTACACGTTCTCATCAGTAGTCCATATCTGTTCCCCTGGTCCCGGCTCCATCCTGCCTCATCCCTGTCACCTGCTCTGGTCACCTTCTTTGACCTAGGTTACCCCTGGCTACCTGCTCTAATCCACCCGTAACTATCCTTCCTGCCAAAACACCCACCCTGCCGCTTCAGCTCGGACCCCTGCTCTCTTTAAAATAGCCAATTGGTATTAGTCTAGCTTGCGCAGTCTAACCCTAGCCAATAGAGGAAACACACAGCAGTAGGGAAGACCCCATCAGGCACAAGTACCCCTTCCCCCCTTGTCCAAGTCAGCGGCCACCATTGCTCCATCCGTGAGCCACACCCTTCTACAGAAGTAAATTGCCTTGCTGAGAGGATTTATCTTCGAGTGCCATTTCTTTTTTGGCATCAATATTTTACTTCTAACACGTAAGGTCTTTTTTTTTTTTGAGATGCAGTTTCACTTTTGTTACCCAGGCTGGAGTGCAATGGCGCAATCTCGGCTCACTGCAACCTCCGCTTCCTGGGTTCAGGCAAAATTCTCCTGCCTCAGCCTCCTGAGTAGCTGGGATTACAGGCACGCGCCACCATGCCCAGCTAATTTTTTGTATTTTTAGTAGAGACGGGGTTTCACCATGTTGACCAGGATGGTCTCGATCTCTTGACCTCGTGATCCACCCGCCTCAGCCTCCCAAAAGTGCTGGGATTACAGGCTTGAGCCACCGCGCCCGGCCCAGCTTATTATTTTTTAAGGCAGGGTCTCACTCCATCACCCAGGGTGGAATGTAGGGGCGTGATCATGGTCCCCTGTGGCCTCGACCTCCTGTGCTCAAACGATAATCCTCCCACGCCAGCCTCCCCAGTAGCTAGGACCACAGGCACGGGCCAACAAGCACAGCTAATTTTATTTTTTTGTGTGTGCAGATAGGGTCCCCCTATCTTACCCAGACTGGTGTGAATTCCTGGGCTCGCACAAGCCTCCTCGGCCTCCCAAGGTGTGTGAGCCACTGTGCCCTAATCCCACAATTAAGCTTTTAGTTCAACCCGGTTATCTCTTTAGGAGCCAAGCAGTCTGAGGACACGAAAAGGCAAGACATTAACTTACTCAACGAATACATATAGAGACCGTACTGCGTGCCATAACTTCTGCTAGAACCCCACACAATGATAGGCGGGATCTGCCCAGACTTGAGGCTTCACCCTCTGTGTGGGCGGCGGTGGGGAGGGTCCAGTGGAGAACCAGCCTGGCAGGCTGGGTCCCTGAGACCAGATTTGAATGTTACCACTGCTACGGTTTTTGGTCTGTTGTTTGAAAAGCCTTGAACAACCAGCCTAGGGTTCCTAGGCCCATCACAGATACTCCTCCGACAGGTCCCTACTGGCCGTTGGGGTGTGGGAGATGCTAACATTAGCCCTTCAATGGGTCCCACTGGCCAATAGGAGCCTCCTCCTTTATCACGTGCTATAATTTGCTTACAATTAACATTCCCCCAGTAGACTGAGCTCTCTGATTCTAGTACCTGCACCCAGCGCAGGCCAGACATTCGGTGGACACCCAGCTCATGCCTGGCGAATGAAACCTTGTGCCTCTCCCCTGAGGGCGCGCTCGGAAAAAGCCCGCTGCAACTGGCCTGGCCCTTCCCTCCCCGTCGAGTCCGTTTTATCCGTCAATCTTCCTGCGTCCGTCTGCCGGCCAAGGCAGGGCTGTCGTTTTCGATTTGAGGATTACAAGCTCCCAGGAAGGGCTGCTCACGGTCGCGCCCTAAAGCTGCAAAAGACTGGTACCCCTGGGCTCCCGGCTGACGCGACCCAGAGAGGGCGAAAGCGGCCCAAGGCGAAAAACAGCGGAGAAAGGCGCCGCCGCCGTTAAAGGGGGTTGGTCCTGTACCTAACTTGGGGGCCCCACCCTGAGGTGCGAGGTCTGGAGGCCGCAGCGCTGCAGCACCCACCTCTGCCAGGGCCTTTTCGGCCGCCCTGCTCCGCTGCCCCGGACACAACCAGCGCCGCCATCACCTTCCTGCCCACGTGATACTAAACAGACAGCGCTGGAAGAACGCGGAGAGCGCAGACCGTGCGGTCGATCGCCGATCGGGCGGGGGCGGGGATACTCGCTGGGCGGGGCTGTAAAGGAGGAGATAGGGGTGGGGCTACAGTGGGCCCCGCCTCAGCCCCGAATGTCCGCACTCTGCCTTTCCTCGCGGTAGCGGACCAGGGCAGTTACCCGCCTCCTGCGACCCAGTCCCCAGCTCCACTCCCCGGCCGCGCACAAGCCTGGCGCTCCAAGAGCAGTGCTCTCCAATGTGCCAACTCCGAGCACGAGTTCTGCAGACCGAGTCTTGTGAATGGGGACACTCACCAGGTCTTCCTTCAGTCCCCCTGCCGGTCTCCCCATAAGCACTGGCCGGTCAGCCCGCCGCCGTGTGGGGCACGTTCGCTACCTAGGGGGGCCCCACTGTACGGCAGGACAGAGCCCAGGGACCACCAGCCCAGCTCCGAGTCTAGTCTTGTAGGTTTCCAGATCGCCCTTCTCACCTTTATTTATTTATTTATTTATTTATTTTATTTTTTTGAGACAGGGTCTCGGTCTCTCGCCCAGGCTGGAGTGCAGTGGTGCGATCATGGTTCACAGCAGTCTCAACCACCTGGGCTCAAGCGATCTTCCTGCCTCAGTTTCCTGAGTACCTGAGACCACAGGCGTGTGCCACCATGTGCAGCTAATTTTTTTTTTTTTTTTTTTTTTTTTTTTGTAGAGATAAGCTCCCAGTATGTTGCCCAGGCTGGTTTTGAACCTCTGGACTGAAGCAATCCTCCCACTTAGGCCTCCCAAAGTGCTGGGATTACAGGCATGAGCCACTGCACCCAGCCCTTATCACCTTTAGAACCCACAGTGTAGATGCTGTAGAACAGGCGTCCCCAAACTACCGCCCACGGGCCGCATGCGGGCCCCCTGAGGCCATTTATCTGGCCCCCCGCCGCACTTCAGGAAGGGGCACCTCTTTCATTGGTGGTCAGTGAGAGGAGCACAGTATGTGGCGGCCCTCCAATGGTCTGAGGGACGGTGAACTGGCCCCCTGTGTAAAAAGTTTGGGGACGCCTGCCGTAGAAGGTTGCCATGGGAGAAACTGCCTCTCTGGGGATGGTCCACAGCCTGAGCGTGCTCTCCTGGGAGGGTGGGCAGTTGAGGACTGTGATGTCTAACCCTTCTGGACCCTGGCCCCTCAGGGCTAGATAGTCTTTCTCCTGATCACTGTCCAGAGCCCCACAGACCCCAAAGAGAAGACAGCCAGTGAGACAGCTTTGACCTTTGGAAGAGCAAGTACCTGCAGGACTGGTCCTGAGTGAAGTCCGGCCACTGGAACAATGGCCCCCAGAGCTGAATGTCTACCCAGCCCCCTGGCATCCTCCTCCTCTCTCTGCCCCAGTGCTGTGAGCACAGCTGGCCCTTTAAGTGAGCTCTGTGGCCTCGGGCTCCCCCAGAGGCCCTCCCTGCTTAGAAACCCCTAATTAAGGTGCAGGGAGAAGTGAAAACAAGTAGCCAGAGACAGGCCCTGCCTGGGAGGCTGCCCAGGGAGCAGGAATGGCTGGGCAGGCTGGGAGTGAGCAGCTGAGGGCAGGATCATGAGGGCTCAGTGTACTGCCCTTCAGGCCACCTGCTTTTAGGACAGTTAACTTTAGACAGAAATGTGGCCAGTGTGGGTCCCAGGAACACTCCCCTCAACTTGGTAAGTGTCCAGATGGGACCTTCCCATCTCTCCTCAGCTTCTCTGGATTCCTAGCGTGCAAGATCTGAATTCCGGGAGCTCAGCCCCTCCTCTGTCAGGACACCAATGCCTAGCCTGTGGACAGCCTTAGCTCTGGCTGCAACACTGAGTTTCCAGGGGAAAAGACTGGCTCTAGTTGAGCCACAGCTTCTCCCTAGGAGGCACCACATCCCTCAGGACCTTCCCTCATCGGAGGTGGGGCCTGTTGATGGCAAAGTTCCCATCCTCCTGTAAATTGCCCCGCATCCACTGTGCCTCATGAGCTGCCCTGGCTCCCGTTAGGAAACCAGATGATGACTAGGAGAATGACATGAAGAACAGATGTGAGAATGCGCCCCAGGACCCCGCAGAGCAGGATACTGGGGGCTGCCATTCGGCTTGGACCGAGGACACCTCCATCTGTCTGTGGGGGTCTCCCTGAGTTACTCAGCAGTCTGAGTAATTACTGCCTGACAAGAAGGCGGGCACAGTGCACCCCCACATTACACCACAGCACCCGCCTTTAGTCGCTCCCACCCCCTGGCTGGACTCCAAGGCAGTACCCAGCCCTCCTGAGGCCTGAAATAACTCTGCTTCTCACACTGACGCCCAGCTCCAGCCAACTTTTCCTAAGATGCTAGAGTTTGTGGGCTAGGGGGTCATGGGGAGGCGGCTTGGGGAGGTGGATGGAGGATTATCCCACATTTGGGCCCTGAGTGAGGCCCACACTTTATCACAGATCTATTATGTGACATTGAGCAAGTCTCTGGGCCTCAGTGTACTGACAGAGGACCTCAGGTCTCAGTGTCAGGGCTCAGGCAGGGGGTGGGGGCAGCACTGCCTTGCAGCTGGTGGCTAAGAGAAAGAATGCCTCACCTTCTGTTCCTACCCTAAGAGGGACCAATCTTTTTTTTTTTTTTTTTTTTTTTTTTTTTTTTTGAGACAGAGTTTCGCTCTTGTTACCCAGGCTGGAGTGCAATGGCGCGATCTCGGCTCACCGCAACCTCCGCCTCCTCGGTTCAGGCAATTCTCCTGCCTCAGCCTCCTGAGTAGCTGGGATTACAGGAACGTGCCACCATGCCCAGCTAATTTTTTTGTATTTTTAGTAGAGACGGGGTTTCACCATGTTGACCAGGTTGGTCTCGATCTCTCGACCTCATGATCCACCCGCCTCAGCCTCCCAAAGTGCTGGGATTACAGGCTTGAGCCACCGCGCCCGGCTTTTTTTTTTTTTTTTAACTGCTCCTTGTGGCCATGGGCAGTGTGCCCAGAGTAGCAGCCATCAGTCTTTTTCTATCTTTAAACTTTTTTTTTTAATAGACATGGAGTCTCACTATGTAGCTCAGGCTGGTCTTGAACTCCTGTCCTCAATCAGTCCTCCCACCTTGGCCTCCCAAAGTGCTGAGATTATAGGTGTGAGCCGATGGTCCTCAGGAAGGACCAATCTTATTTCTTCAGGGTTACTTCTCACCTTTAAGCATCTGCTGGAATGCCCTTCCCCCTTCTCAGTGCGCTGAACTTGGCCCTCAAGACCTAAACTCTTCTGTGACTGTTTTCTGATTATCCCATAGCCCCTGGCAGAGCTAGCAGAGCCTTTTCTCAGTCTTCATGACTTCTGTCACACTCTAAGATGGTTTGTGGGTTTTTCTTCTCCCGTGACACCTGAAGCTTCTGGAAGTCCAAGCCCAGAGACTTAGTTCAAATCTGAAGCTTCGGTGCCACCAGATGCATGTATGTCAGACTGGCCTTTTTTGTTTGTTTATTTTGTTTTGTTTTGTTTCGAGACAGAGTCTTGCTCTGTCACCCAGGCTGGAGTGCAGTGGCATAATCTGGGCTCACTGCAACCTCCATCTCCCAGGTTCCAGAGATTTTCCTGCAGCCCAGCCTCTCAAGTAGCTGGGATTACAGGCATGTGCCACCACACCTGGCAAATTTTTGTGTTTTTTTAATAGAGGCAGGGTTTCACCACGTTGGCCAGGCAGGTCTCAAACTCTTGACCTCAAGTGATCTGCTCAGCGCTCAGCTCAGCCTCCAAAAGTGCTGGGATTACAGGTGTGAGCCACCGTGCCTTACCTTTTTTTTTTTTTTTTTTTTTTTTTTGAGACAGAGTCTTGCTCTGTCACCCAGGCTGGAGTGCAATGGCACAGTCTTGGCTCACTGCAACCTCCACCTCCCAGGTTCAAGCGATTCTCCTGCCTCAGCCTCCCAAGTAGCTGGGATTCCAGGGGTGCGCTATCATGCCCAGCTAATTTTTGCGTTTTTAGTAGAGACCGGGTTTCACCATGCTGGCCAAGCTGGTCTCAAACTCCTGACCTTGTGATCCACCTTGCTCCGCCTCCCAAAGTGCTACGATTACAGGCGTGCGTCACCGCGCCCGGCCCTAACCTTCCTTTTGACCTTCCTATCATATCACCTTTTCCTCCAAGGAGGGCTTCAGCTGAATTTCTGCTTGGATGTCACCTGTTCTGAGCAGCTTTCCTTGTCCGGCACCCCCACCCCTGTGTCAGCTCCAGAACAGCACTGGGCTTTTCTTCTAAACACAATCTTCCATCTTCTCTGGACTTTCCCCATTTGGCCCCTATTAAAATGTAAACTCCTTGAGGACAGGGCAAAGCCATGTCTTTTCTGTCTGTGTCCCACACATACATGCTGAGCCTTCGGTGAATGTGTGTGGAGTGACTTGGTCCAGCCACTCTGTTTCTTCCCTCCGAATCCCTCTGATCCCAGGCCAGTAGGGGGTGCCGCCTCCACCCAGGAGCTCGCCTGGCCCCAACCTTCTCCTTCCTCAGCCCAACAGGCCCCTGCGGGACCCTCTTTCCAAGCGGCCCCTCCCCCATTTTGCGAGAACCCCTGGCGGGGTCTGTGTGGACCAAAGGAGATCAGAGACACCCCACACACACCCACCCACGCGGAGACAGACCACCCGAACCCGCGCGGGTCCTTCCTTCTCCCTGGAATTTGCAGCGGGCCCCTCTGGAATGCTTGCTCCCCTCCGCTCCCTACAAAAGAACAGTGTCCTGGGTCTCGGGGTGCGGGGCGGCCCGGTTTGCTGGCGCGGTTCTGTGCGGGAAGGAGCCGTCGAGACTGGAAAAAGGGGCGCTGGCTGGGGACGAGGCGCGGCCGGGAGGGGACTAGCGATCCGGACTCCGGGCGGCGGTCCTCGCGTCCCAGCCGCCTCTCCCGATGACCTCCAGCCGCGAAGGGCGGGCGAGCGGGCGGGGGCTGGGCTGCGGGTTCGGGCTCCGGGAGGCCCGCGGGGCGGGCGAAGGGTTCGGGGACTGGGGCAGGT